GTTTCAAAGCTACTTGTCATGTCATACGAGTCATGTTCGAATTTCTAGTGTCCCTTCTAAACTATTTTACTCAACTTCAGGTGTCCCCCAGGGGTCTATTCTTGGGCCTCTTTTGTTTCTGATATTTGTTAATGACATAACCTCATGTGTAAAAAAAGCTGAGCTTCTACTCTTTGCGGATGATATTAAGATTTTTATGCGCATTGCTACTCCTCTTGATTGTAATGCTCTTCAGCACGAAGTGAACAACATACTGCAATGGTCTTTGGCGAATAATTTACTCCTAAATCCTTCCAAAACTAAGGTTCTTTCTTTAAGCAGAAGACGCACTGTTATGCATTTTACCTACCCTCTGGGAGGAACTCCAATCGAACGCGTGACTGTGATGAAAGATCTCGGTGTGTGCCTTGATAGCGCATTGTCATTTAATGCTCATGTTTCTTTTATTGTTGGCCGTGCGATGAAAACTCTTGGTATCATATCTCGTATAACTAAAATTTCAGACGCCCTGCTTGTATGATTCGTTTATTTTGTGCTTTAGTTCGTTCACGGCTTGAATTTGCCTCTGTTGTTGGGAATTCTCTAACAAGTACACAGTCTTTAAGTATTGAATCAGTGCAAAAAAGAATGATACGCATTCTATATGATAGACACTTTCAGCGTCGCTTTTATTATGATTATGAATTTCTTCTTAAGAGCGTTTTACTTAAGTCTTTGTCAAATAGAAGATTTGAGCGTGATCTGATTTTTTTGCACAGGGTGGTAAATGGTTGGACTGATGCTAACCAACTTTTGAATTCTGTCGCTTTTCATGTTCCTTGTCGCGTTACAAGAAATTTTACTGTCTTTTATACTAAATTCATGTCTAAACTCTCACCACTGTCCCGTATGCAAATTTCATTTAATACAATCGCATCGTCTAGCTTGGACATCTTTACAGATCTCGTAGTTTTTCGCCGGAACTTGCGAAGTCTAGTTAAAAGTTGATACTATTACATTTTGTGTGAAGTGTGCGACCTATTTGTTGTCATGCTAATTTGTACATTTTAAGCTGTGCGTGTGTTGTATTTCTTCTTTTGTTTTGTGTGCGCCAATATGAAGACCCCCGTGGTCGTTTTTGGGCACATCAAATAAACAAATTATTATTATTATTATTATGATTATTAAACTTGGTCTGCCTCAACGAACGAGGAGCCCCCTACCTGTAGATGAGCAATTTAGCCAGTGCAATACAACCGCTAGCCTTGGGTTTTTAACGTGCATCACGCATTAGTGATACACGACCGGATGCCGGTACGATGCTCATCCAGATCGAAACGGGCAGGGGGGGGGGGGGGGGGGGGATTGAACCAAGGATCCTTGGGTTCTGCAGTGCGAGCTTTCACTCCACGTGCTCTGAGCTGGTATGCACGATACTAGATTGCAAAATAAGAAATATTGGGCATGCATGAGTCACGTATTTGTAGTTTTACTCAAGGGGAGTTTGATTGTACTGTGCGGTCGGTATACTGGAGGACAAACCCACGCGCTAACTTAAAACTCTTCTTCTTTTATTATTTCGGAAAAAAATGCAAGCGAGGTTAGACAGAAAATGCATTCAGGCTGGCTACCCCGCATGAGAATGGAAAGGAAAAAAGATTGCACTAGAAGGCATGCTCTTTGTATTCCGCTACTTTTTTGTTCTCTTCATTGCGTTGGCTCTCAAAATCTTTATGACCAGCAACAATAGCACGAATGCAGGAAACACTCCTAAATATGGCTCTCACTCCTCACAGTTATTATGAGGAGAAAAATATGAGTTATTCTTGAGACAGTGTTAAGGATGGACTGCTAGCACACTTGTCATCGAGAAGCGCTATTTTTTGAGCTTCCATTATCTCTCTGGTCAGCTGGTTTCGACTTTTTTCCTATTGCAGAACAATTTTCGAAATTCGCAACAGATCCACAATTCCAACAGTGTATATCCTGGTGTCCTGAAACGATTTTGTGGGTATTATAAAAGTGCTTTTTAAAGAGATAATTTAAACACCTGCCGGTTTTTCCCGTATAGTGTCTACCACATGAGAGGGTAATAGAATAAACTACTCCCTCAGTGGAAGTAACAAAGCTCTTTTATTCCACTCTCATATGGTTGAGAATATTTAAAACAAACCGGCAGTTGTTTAAATGATCGCTTAATAGAGCATTTCCATAACACCTACAAAAATCGTTAATGGACAGCTGGGCATACGCAGAGAGTTATTACAATAAACTCTAGAAGTTCACGTGGCGCTAGTGTGCTGTTGCATTTTGAAGCAGTCAGCAAAGAGTCTAAATTGGACTTCCAGTAATGCATTCCTATGGGAAAACGCAAATGCGTTTTCTGTTCGCGCTCGATTATAAGAGCAAATTGTGCTTGGTGTTGTGAGAGAATGAACCGTTCGGGACGTTTTACAATCGGATGTACAAAAATATGTGTCAGAGCGTTTTTTTCTTTAGAACTCATGGCTTTGAAAACTGCGCTAAAATAGCCCAATTTGCATGTGCAATACATGTTGACGTCGCAGACTGCTATTATTGGGCACGTATTTACCCATATAGCTAATGCTGTGAAGCACCCAGAGAGAACCAGCTCGACAAAACAAAAAAAAAGGATGGTGATATATGCCAGATAAAACAATCCAAACGAATAGAACAAAGCATGGAGTTGTTGAAGGAAGTACATGCACCAGATTGGACAAAAATTGTGCATTAGCAACAAACTGCGTTTCCGTCATCTCAATTCTATTATAGCTTGAATAAATTCTACGCACATTTTAACAACTCTTTTTGGAGCGCAGCTCTTAGGCGCCCATTGGCGGGCTGAGCGGCGTCGGCGTCGCCGTCGCCGTAACCCCGCGTTGCATTATGGGCCGTATCACGTCACACGTGACGTCACGAGGGTTACTCTTGTGAGTGTAACCTTCTTAAGAGTAACCTTCACGAGGGTTACTCTCATGAAGCTAACCCTTGTGCGGGTAATATGACCCCCCTGAGGGTTACCCTCACGATTACCCTTACGAGGGTTATCCTCACCCCCGTGAGGGTAACGTAACCCCCATGAGGGTTACCCTCATGGTTACACTCACGAAGGTTACATCGCGCTCACGCCTGTGAGGGCAACCCTTACGGGGGTGACCCACGTAAAGGCGACCGTCGTGAGGGTAACCCCCGTGAGGAGCACGAGGGTAATGTAAAAACGTTACCCTCGTGACGCCGCGTGTGACGTCATTAAGTAAAACACGTGACGTGTCACCTCACGTGTGACGTCACGTGACGTCTACGCATCTAACATTAGCAATATTTCAACTCAATTTAGCTTGAAAGGAGGAGGCGTATACCCTTCCCAATGTACTCTCCCCTTCTCCTCCTCAAGAGCTGCGCTCTATTTTGGCGTTACAGAGAATTGTAAACGTCTTGCATGTTTTTGCTTGAATGATAGGTTGTATTGACATATCACGCAGTACAACATAGACCTCTTGGCCTCAATTTTCGCAAACTTAAACATCGCTCAGTAATAAACAAAAAAAACTATACTAAATAAATTACACTTTTTTAATGTGAATAAAGCTACATAATATCTGTTACCAGTAAGGAAACAGCGCTGATTTCTATTATTCCGCGGCGAAGAGAAAAATATCACGTACGTTTTCCTATAGGAATACACAGGAAGACTTGAAAAGTAGAGTGTTTGCTGTCTGCTTCAATTTGGAACTGGAAGTCCCGTAGATACCAGCGCCCGCTGAGCCTCTAGTGTTACTTGTAATAACTCTATGGACATACAGTGTAGGGATTATGGATGTGTAGCGAACTTTGAAAATTGTTTTTTTAGTAGAAAGAAGTAGAGACCAGCTGACCAGAGAGATAATGGAAGCCAAAAAAATAGCAGTTCTTCATGACAAGTCTATTAGAAGTCCATCGTGAACACTGTCTCAATAAGAGGTCGAACTTTTATCCTGATAATTACGGTGAGGATTGAGAAGCATATTTAGAAGTGTTTACTGCATTCCTGTTATTGTTGCTGGTCAAGGAGATTTCGAGAGTCAACCCAAGGAAGAGAACAAAGAAGTAGTAGAATTCGGAGTTGTAAGTCGGCGCGCGTGTTTCTCCTTCTGCGTGTCGTGTTTTGTGATTAATCTTGCGCTGTTACCTAAAGATATGAATCGCCAACTCGCCCAAGTTTTTTATATTAGCGCATACTAACAGCCTCAGAAACACTTGCATGAAGGACTTAGCGATCAGTTCAAGCTCCACTCAAGTCGGCTTTCTGCAAAAAAAAAAAATGATTGAGTTGTGTGTATCTTTATACAGCCTACAACTTGGTCAGCCTCAACAAGCGACGAGCCTCCCAGCTGTAGGTGAGCAATTTAGCCAGTGCAGTACAACCGCTAGCCTGGGGTCTTTAATTTTCACCACGCAGTAGTGATACACGACCGCACGCCGGTACGATGCCCATCCAGATCGAAACGGGCAGGGGTGGGGATTGAATTTTAATCCACTTAAAATATATCTTGTATGGTAATGGCTTGGCAGTTTTAGGCTGGTATTAATTAGTAAAAGAAAATGTACGCAAAACATTTTTTTTCCTAGATAGTTCGAAAATGCACGCATACTTACAAGCACGCGGTAACTCGGGTGCGGTCGAAAATCGGGACGGACAATACAAATCTCCAACGTAGACTTCTCAGCGAACAAGAGCTTTTTTTAGTGCAGTAGAGGCCATTATGCGGGCGGAGATGTTCAGTAATGATTTATGTTCAAAGTATAAGGTCTGTACCATGTCTACTTATGACACCAAGGAGCCAACCGCATCAATACTGATCCATAGACCATGAGATCTCCACCAATGACAACGGACAGTAAGTACGGCACTATGCTGAACTTTAACTGAACGCTTTTCTTTTTGTAGATCTTCAGAACATTACTTCGCGTATAAAGTAATGAAGAGGACACATTATCGTACATCAGAAGCACTGACGTACCTGGCCGTTGTGTATGACAAGGACGTGTTCCCTACATTTCTGGTTGGGATTCAACTCCAGTGCATCGCAGCCTTTGGAAGGCGCGCGATAAGCACTAAAAATATTTTGGTACTGCGACATGTCCAAGGGAGTTGTTCCACGAAAGTCAGGCTGGAGACGTCCCCTGCTGAGAAGCAAACATGATATATTAATAAGATTGAGTTACTGCATCGATATACTCGCTTTAAAACCCCAGCGAACAAATTGGCGGTTTCCATTTTGTTTGGCCCGAATCGTTGATATATGATAGCAGTCCTCATCGAACACTCACGCGGGCGCTCATTTTTGATAAGTGTTGAGTTTACGCCAAATGCAGACGCTGCACTCGTGCCTATTATAGGGTGAATGTTCGTGAACAAGCTATGGCCAACTCGGATAAATGGCACACAGCTACCATAATCCGACTTTCCGTAATTGGTCAAACTGCAAAGGCTAACGTCCCAGCAAACCGCTTCGTGCGTCGGAAGCAGACTTGTGCGGTTTTCATTGCAAGTAATCAAACTAACTTGAATCGATTGCCTTTAAAAGTAGTTTTGTAATAACATGTTATTTTTATTATGCAGTAATCACAAGACTAATTCAATTACTTTTAGAAACAATACACTGACTAGTAGGGAATACTTGTTTTTTTTTTCTACTTCCGCCTTTACCCCTTTTTTGGGGATTTGATATACGCTTTTTATTCACAGCAGGTCAAAATGTCCAAATTAACAGCTTCTAAATATTGCCGACAACAAGAAACGAATCAATTGTTACCGAGCTGTAATAAATAGGTCAGAATTTCTCTGTACTCATTTTATAAAGTGTTTAATTAATGGCTTGAATCCGTCGGGGAGAAGGGGGGAAGGCGGGTGAATTCTGAGTTCTTGATAAATGCCTTTCGGTTCGAAGGTTGGCGGTTAATGCAGCTGCTTCGGTGTCATTCACCGTGGAAAAAATCTTCCCCTTTCTTCTGAAAAATATCTAAATGAGGCTCACTGCACTTTTAGAGTTTGGTGCCCCTCCTCTGCCAAGATAACCAAACCAGATAATACCACGTACATGTCAAGTGTAATAAGAAGGGCAATTTCTTTGTTAAACGTAATGATGCGCTGGTCGCCATTCCACAAGATTGCACCATCTTCCGAATTCATGTTTTGAATGTTTTTCTTTTGGAAGTTGCGTGGGCGTGGCACAAGCGCAGTTCCTTTGAGCAACAAAGCTATACCCTGTTTGCTCCTGTTACCAAAAATTGGGAAGTACTTTAAGCAAATTGTATTTAAAGTTCTACTTCACCGAGGTTTACAACACTTTTAATTCGCTTGGAGTGCATTCTTTGAATATGTACTTGTCGCTTATCTAAAGTGTTTTTCATTAGTATTTTGGAAGGAAAGTAACACTCCCCACTCAATAGTTCACTCTAAAGATTTTTTCTTGTTAATTGTATATACAAAATAATATTTTGTCAACTCTGAAGCCACATGTCTTTACTCAATATTCACCAAAACTTCCTAGCATACATGATGTACCCCCGATTCCCCATGGGTCAATGCACACCAGTTAAAAATTATCATATGGGACAAGCAAGTGTTCCAAAATGCGTCTTCGGTGCACCAAAGCTCAAGGAGATGCACATCAATCAGAGATTAGTTTAAATGTGCACGCAAGGAGCGCAATGACGATCGAACCGCGCCAAAGATAGGTTCAGGTTGGCGTGAAAAAAAAGCACATGGTCACATTTAGCACCTCATAGATAGCTTTCAATCCTTCGCGTCACCTGACATGACGTAAAGTCCTGGAGATCTGCGCAGGCGCTGATTGGATGCGAGCGCCGCGTCAGTGCTCGAGTGTGACTATGACAGGGAACGAGTCCCACGCGAACCCTGACGCGGCACTTGCATCCAGTCAGCGGCCGTGCAGCGCTCCGGAACTTGACGTGAAGTCACGTGACGCGCTGCTTGAAAGCTGTCTAGGAGGTGGTCTCACACCTCGAGGGTAAACAAACGCACAAGATGTGTAAAGAGCAGACAAATTTGCACGCCGTATAGGAGAATGGAAGGACATCATGAAAGGCTGTGTTAACACGTAGTTGTACATTACTTTCAAATGTCGCTATAATATTTTCCTCCAAGTACATTGCACCCGATGTACTTCCTTCTTAAACTTGAAATACATAACCCCTCCTTTACCAGTGCCTCCTATATAAGTTACACTATGCCTGTCAGCTTCTCTCCAAGCGGTGTCCAGGCCCGATGCTTCACCTCACAACACGCACGTTCGGCTAGGTAGCGCCGCCTGGCGGACGTTCGTTTTTTTTCTATTTTTCTAGCATGTTGTATTTACAATAATATTCAAGATATGTCATATATATATATATATATTCTTTTTTAACAACATGTGGAACACTGTTCTAGGTGTGACCGCCCTGATTCAAACGAGTTTCGCCGAGACAAAATACGAAACTACGGAGCAAGCACGGCCAGCGTTTGCAGCGCGAAGTGGCCAAGCGTTCTTCGCACGCGCGTAGAACGCTCGGCCGCTTGACCTTCTGCTTTGCGCTTTGGCGGCAGTTTGTGGCGTCGGCGATCACCCTGATCGCGCGCATAGAAATAGTTGGCGCCGGGTCGTGTGTGGGTGAAAAGGTAAGAAAATAAGAAGTCATATTCCGTTGAAAACGGCGAGCTAGTTCCGAGCTGTCAGTCAAAAACATTTAGATTTCTTGCTGTCGGTGCTGCTGGGGCGACATCACTGAACCTCCTACGGAAGGGATGGTTGACCTCACTGCACGACAGGTTTGTACGCCTAGGCGGCTCCACCGCACGGCAACCACACGTACTATTTGCCCTCTCCCTTCCGCTTGGCAGTGCTCGGAGCTGATAGGCAAAGTGTAACTTATATAGGAGGCACTGCCTTTACTTTGTACTTTACTTCATGACTTCTCAGATGTACTTTACCCCACACTGCAATTCATCCACTAGTCCTAAGTTGAGCTCCCAAAACATCGCTCTTGCGCCCCATTGTGGCTTACCTATCTTCCCCTAGTTCGCACAAAGATGCTTTTATCTTCACTTTCTAATTCGCCCCCTGTTTCTGCAAGATTCTTACCAAGGGATCCTGGAATATAGTCTTCGACAGCGGAATGGTGTACCAAAAATGGTCGTTTAAGAAGGTGAGTAGTTTTTGGATGTTATGATTCTAATCCAATAATCGACAGCACGAAATGTTTGCCTTGAAACCTGCCGTAAAATCTGCCGTTTTCAAAAAATGGGAAGTCATGGAGCAATAAAAAGAAGTACTGTTTACTTCTCCAAGTGCTGGCGAGTTATTTCCCTTTCAGGTAATCAAATGACCTAACTGAATATTTTTTTTATGCAGGAGAAAGTCTTATTGTCATCGAATACTATTTTCAGAAGCGTGTACAAGACTAACTCTCCTTAGAGGAGGGCAGTCCTTTCGCAGTTACGAGCTTTAAACACAGCAAAGCCAATTACATACGAATATTTATGAACGGGCTAATCTAAGGGCACAAAAGCGACTTCCGAGGCACACAAAAAGAGGATAAGGGTAAGAGGGAATCATCTCTTTCCCCTCTTCTTCGGCTGTTTGGGTTACGCTCTCACATCTGCACCCTTGGCTAGGGCTTTTACGCACTTCGCCTGCACCCTTGGTTAGGTCTGTCATACGCTTCGCATCCATCACTTTGGTTGGCTCCAAGGATCTGAGCGTTCGCTGTAGCCAATGTGCGGTAAAACTAGCTTGCCTGATCTTTAAAGAAAATATATGGCATATTGTGTTTCTATGTGAATGGTGTTGCTACATGAAACGTTCTTGGTTTGGCCCTAGTAACCTTCAGGCATTTCTTCGCAAGAAGAAATGCCTGGAGAAGAGTGGGGACACCATTTCGGTGTCTCCACTCTTCTCCACCCCCATTGACACCACCCACTCCCTTTCGCCTCATTGACTCACTGACCCGTTGACGTTCCCCGTCGGGAAGGCCTGTGTCCACAGAGTATAGGGAATGACGGGCTGCGGCCTGGCACCTGTTAATATTCCTGCTAAATTTACCGGAGGAACCCAATTTGCGTATAGGTCACTTTAGATCATATCACGTGATGTAAACTTTTCCGCTAAGCGTGGAAACTGAATTTGCTTATAGGTCACCTGACATCAAGTCAGGTGAAATCATTGTCGCCGCTAAGTTTAGCGTGAAAACTGAATTGCTGCCGAGGTGATGTGTCGTCATTTTTCCCGCCAAATATAGCGGAGAAACTGAACTTCAGTATACATAACGTGACATCATGTGACCTCATTTTCCCCGCTAAATCTAGAGGGCCAATTTAATTTGTTTATAGGTCAGGTGAGATAAGAGATGTGACGTAATTTTCCTCGCTATATTTCGTGAAACCTGGGTTAAGGATAAGGTCACATGACCTCAATTACCACCGCCATATTTATAGCGGAAGCTGAGTTAGTGTATATGTAACGTGGCACGAAGTAATGTGACGGACTTTGCCCGTCAAATTTAACCCGGAAGGTGAATGGGCGTTGAGGTCACTCGACGTCGATTTTTCCGTTACATCTAGCGGGGAACTTTAGGTTACGCTTTTTCTGGCTTCACTTAGTCTGAAAGCCTAGCCTATGAACGTTTCCCGTTAAAGCGGAGTACTCTAATAGCCGTAATTAAAGTGTAACTTTGCCTAGGAGTGGACTCTCTCACCGTTCGATTAGATGCTTGAATTCCAGCGCTCCCGCTGCGAGTCCGGCTGCCTGTCTGCAAACACATCCCCGATTCTGTCAGTCTTAGGTTAAACATACGGTAATGAAACGCACGTATTCTAAAAAAAAATAGAAATACCTGAGTTGGTATATTTTCGTTGCAAATGTTTGCTTCATAAGACACATTGCAGCTGTGGTGTTTGGCAGTGGGACCCTAGCTTTCAAATAATTTTCGATAAGCCAGTCTGAAAACTTTAAAATGTCACATTAGCCCGACACCAGCGCGCATCTCTTTTTTTTTTTTTTTACATGCAAACTCGAAAATATTTTTAGGAAAGTGGCAAGGCTTACCCAGTTCGGGTTACAAGAAGCTTTCTCTAAGAGTA